CCATATATTGCTGGCGATTTCGGTAAACAGCTTTCACACGGAGCGATTGTCGCGCTACCATTGAAAAGCCATTAATTTGATTAAATTCGCGATGTTGCCGTTCAGTCCATTATAAACCATGGCGAGATCAAGACGTATGTTGATATTGTTGGCAATACTTTTGAAACGCAGAAAAAGGAAAAAGCTATTTTGTCTTTTTCCTTTAATTCGTGATAACTATCTATTAAAAACATGTAAATTTCCGTCCAAGCTTTTCCCCGTTTAATTTTATCCTTATATTCCTCAGTTGTTTTGTCCCAGATGCATGGTCTTTGTTCAATTAATTCAATTAGGTCCAGAGGATCAAACGCGCACTGAACCCTTTTCGCCATCTTGCAACGTTGTCGACTGAAGTCTGAGCGATTTATAGTTTTGCGTGTGAAGACAGGCATATACTTGCACAGACGAGTTAAATCGCAACGATAAAATATTGCGCGATATCTGTAGAACATATTGCGTGTAAATGCGATATAGCGCTATTGCTACCATCAATTTTATGGTATGGCCGTCGTGTGAAAGCGGTTCATTTGAAAACCTACAATTTTGGTGCACCGCGATATAGCGACCAATTATTGCTCGCGATATATAGCGCCGTGTGAAAACGCCCTGAAAGGAATCAGGGTAATTATAAAAGAAATACAATAAATCCCAGCCCTTAGCACGCCTCACATATGTTCATCCTGGAAGAGATGGCGTAGTAAGAGTAGTGACACTCAAGAAAGCAGACAGAGCGACATTGGAACAACCGATACATACATTGATCCTAATTCCATTAGAAGAAATAGGAAAAGAAACACTGACCAATCCCACTACAGCAAATATGGCCATAACCTTAAGCAGTCACAATATCGAAAGAGAAGAATCATATGAAAACTGAGAAATCAAAAGCATCTCATTCTCAAATCATTCAACTATTTATGGTATGGTTCAGTTTGATGTTTCTCCCAAAGTGTCAAAGCAGCTATGTTATAAAATATCCCGAAGGAGGTATTTACATAGAACATTTTGGAACGGCACAAATAAATAGAGGAACATTTAGAATGAAAGTCACTTACAATAGAAGAAGAATCAAGGAAGACATCCAGAATGTAACTAGCGTCGTAACCAATTTTGAGATGCTGTGTAACAAGACAAGACAACTATCGGAAGAAACGCACTGTGAAATATTGGACCATCATCTAAAAGAGCAACAACAACATTTTAGCTGGATATTTAAGACACTCCAAGAAATACAACTTCGTCCAAAAAGAGGTTTACTGTGAAAATTTCTCACGTCCGTTTTTGGCGTCAGCGATGAGGTCTACGAGGATATAAATAATATAAACAAAAATCAAGAAATGTTGATTGACACAATTCATGATCTCCGCACTATCAACATTCAATACTACTGAAGAAAAAATAAATAATCAACTTCGCAGATTCCAAACAGGGCTTAGTCAAGGATTGGAAGCAATTCAATCTATGAACAAATGGTTTTCAAGTATAGACATTAACAGCCTAAATATTCATGTCCTAAGCACTTATCAAATAGCAACTAACTACATTGCAGAAATAAGTTCAAACTACGAGAATATGATAAATATCCAGTTTAACAGGGGAACAATCTACGACATCATATCTCCAACGTATCTTCATATTCTGATAACGGATATCAACAAAAAAGTACCGAGCAACTTGGAAGCATTATCTACGCCTGTGATAAAAATGTACAGGGTGGCCCGTTTAAGAGGGGCCTATACCTTATCTCGAAAATTAACCAGGGCTGTAAAAAAAAATCAAATACAAAAGTTGTTTCTAATAAAATTATCTAAATTTTTTTTTTATTGTTTTTGTTGTCACTCTACTGGATACAGGGTGGACAAATAAAATTTCATTTTTTCAAATAAAACACCCTATATTTTGATAAACTTTTACATAGCCCTTTGAAAGACAAATCCAACGATATACTGGACATGTGTCTGTGATATACCGTTTCGAACTTATCAACGATTATCTTCAGGATTTGGGGTATCTTTCAACACTCATTTTTACGTTACTCATAAAGTTTTAAAACTTTTTTTTTGCATGATATTTTTTATAAAATTATTCTTTTCTTTGGACTATGTTTAAATTTGAGATATTTGTTTAGAAAACGCGGTGTTGCCACATTTCGCAAAATGTTACGCTTTTCAATTTTTTTAAATGGGACCTCCTGTAAATTTTCGAGTTTTTAGATAGCCCTTCAAAAGACAAATTTAACGATATACTGGACATGGATATGTGATGCACCGTTTCGGCCTGATTGGCGTTTATCTTCAGTTCTAGCACAATATCTCATGTCATCCCTCTTGAATGAAAAAAATGTCTAATTTTGCAGTAGATTAGTTGAACTAGTGCTTTTTATGCATTATTGAACAATTTTTTATACATTAATAAAGCACGGTAATAGACGGTTGATGGAAAATAGACATTTTGATTCAACAGGCGACTTGGACATATGAAATATTGTGCTAGAACTGAAGATAATTGCCAATCAGGCCGCAAGTGATGCACCGTCACAGACCCATTTCCAGTATATCGTTGAATTTGTCTTTTAATGGGCTATCCAAAAACTCGAAAATTGACCGGAGGTACCATTTAAAAAAATTGAAAAGCGTAACATTTTGCGAAACGTGGCAACACCGCGTTTTTTAAACAAATATTTCAAATTTCAATATAGTCTGAAGAAGAGCATTATTATATAAAAAATATCATGCAAAAAAAAGTTTTAAAAGTTTACGAGTTACGTAACAATGACTATTCAAAATTACCCTGAAGCCTGAAAATAATCGCTTATAAGTTCGAAACCGTATATTATAGACACATGACCAGTATATCGTTGGATTTGTCTTTCAAAGGGCTATGTAAAAATGTATTAGAATATAGGGTGTTCCGTTTAAAAAAATGAAATTTTATTTGTTCACTTTGTATATAGTAGAGTGACAACAAAAACAATACAGTAAAATTGTAGATAATTTTATTAGAAACAACTTTTGTATTTAAGTTTTTTTTACAGCCCTTGTAGATTTCGAGATAAGGTATAGGCCCCTCTTAAACGGGCCACCCTGTACTTATGTCACTTTCAAGTATTTGGCTATTTTCCCATAATAGAAATATCACAATTTGATGTTATGAAAGCAACCCCAATTCCAGTACGAATACCCAACAACTCCTACTGGACATAAGATATATCGGACGATTATATCGCCATCCATTATAACTCTCAGCTCCACTTTCAACTCCATAAAGAAGAATTCGAACGATGTTTGAAATTGAAACATCACATGTTTCTCTGTTCTCCGGATGTTATAAGAAACATTAATAACGACGGCAACTGTATTATTGATGAAGTATACCCTAAACCTGAAGCCAAGAAATGCAAAACTTTCACAAATTCAGTGCAGGCTACGATATGGAAACAAATGGCCACGGAAACATGGTTATTTATTACAAATGGATCAGCCAATATAGCTATTATTTGTGGTGGAGTCCGGAAAGATGTTGTCATTATTGCAACAGGAATTCTCAGCCTGGCTCTCGACTGTATCATAGAAACCAAACAGCTAACACTAAGAGCAATACGAGTGGAGCATAGCAGTTTAACCAGCTATTCCAAAGCTGTCTCACTCGATAGATACGACGAATCCACACATATTCAACATTTACAGTTTCGGCCAGCATCTGACTCAGTAATTGGGCACTCAGATGATTTAAACGCAATAATGTCAGAAGAGAAGTCAATTCAGATTGAACTTCAAAACCTTTTAGCATTTAGGGCATTTTAGGCAGAAATGCTGGCCAGAATCCAGAAGTCAGCATGTTGGTGCAGATCAGAAACCATAAAAAGAACCGACGGCAGCACGCCCTAATCGCAGCTTGCAGGATAAAGCCTGTGAAGAACTAGAAACCCTCGCCATACAAAACAAGGCGTACATGAATCAAACCACTGATGTCTGGAGACTTTCTATTAGGAATACCATCTGATGACATCAAGGCGCAACCTCAGAATCGACTCCCACTCGAACAAGAAAGAACTATCCTGGTTACCGGCTCAAAAAACTTAACTGGACCAGGCTCCATAATATACGGTGAATTCTCCCTGAATAAAGACAAACTCTGAGCAGCATGCAAAGAGTAGTTGATAGACCTGACGATTGAAACATGGAAACAATGAGCTGGGTTCAAGGACGCCTTGTGGCTGCCGGAAATGAAGAAACAGAAGAGTTGGCTCATGAGGCTTCCGCTACCTTCCTGGTGGAAACAGTACTTGCAATGGGGATATCAAGAGGAACTAAGCGCATATGTTGAAACGTGGATTTGAAGTTACCTAAAACACTGGGATAAAGTGACAGGAAACCGAAAAATAATTGTGATTATGAACTATGAAGCATCGGTTTTTTTGGGTAATCGCTTATTTCAAAAATACAGAACTGACAAAATTGCCCCCCTCTGTTGTCGAGATTGTCCGCTATTTATTATTAATGACATTCTATTCTACATCAATGCCTTATATTATTAGCTAAACTATCAAAATCTACTGTGTGAATGAGTGTAATAATAATTGTGAAAAATAAAAATAAAATGATTGAGTAACCTGTATGGAAAATAAAAAAACTGGCTTCAAAATTTGAATTAAATTTTGCTTGTACAAATTTCAAGAGAAATGTTGGAGCAAACTGAGAAATAAAAATTAGGTAGATACAGGTAGTGGCTTCTAGACTGATATACGGAAAATATTTTGAACGGCGCTTTTTTAGCTTTAGGAAAATTCAGTATATCGGTCTAATTTACTTACTGTGTGCTTATTGTATGATCGTGAAGAAGGTAATTTACTTACTGTGTGCGTATTGAATGATCGTGAAGAAGGGTATAAAACAACTTGTTTCCATGTGAAGAGTTTAGGTGTAACACACATTTTAAAAACTTATTTTATTTAGCTCTACCTGGTACTACCACGAATGGGGTCGTACGACCATGAGATGGGTGATATGATCTATTATTAAAGATATGGGGACCTTCTGCAGGAGGGGCGCCAGATGGCGACAGTGTAGTGGAAATGTTGAGCGGTACTGGTGCTAGTTTCGGTACAGTTGTCTCTGTGACGGCGTCTGTAACGGTGGCGGGTAGTGCAGTAGCGGGTGGTGCCTCCCGTTTGGAGAGGAAAGAGCTTGCGCGTGGTGCCATTTTTGATCTGCAAAATAAAACTTTATAAAAGTAGTCCACTTAAATCAGAATATTTTCCAAATATAGCATTACAGTAAGAGCGTTAAGTTTACAATCCACCGCCATTTCCTCAAATACTATGTGGTTTTATTCGGTGTTGGGCTTCAACTATGGTATAAGTGATTTTGTTACTATTTATTAATCTTCTTGAAAAAAATGCTACAGGTCTTCCGTCTTGACCAAGTGAAGCTGCAATTGAGTGGTCGGATGCATCCAGTGCCGGTTTAAGGTAGTTTGCCGCCCGGTGCTACAAAAACGCAGCGTTCGGGAAAAAACAAAACTATTTTTTTGGAGCATTTGTTTCAAAAAATGTATGCAATTCTTTTATACAGGGTGTCCCAGGAAAAACAGTCCACCTCAATTTATTGGATTTGGAATGAGAATCTGGAAAAACGCTCGGACACGTCGATTTTTGATTTGAGTGGGAACTATTTTTCAGTTTTTTTCAACCCCCGTAGCTTTAACCCCCTAGCTGGGGGAGAAACAACCCCCCAAATTTGAATAGAGGATAGGGCTCGTGTCGTACCTTTTTTTGAAGGTCTCATCAAGTATTCTATATGGCCCTAGATTTTCGTCTCATTATTTTCATCCGTAACCAATTGACAGATTGTCAAAATCTTGAAAATAGACTATTGTTTTAGTGGAAGTAAAAGCGGTACTTACTTTCCTTAATTGAAGTTTTTCATTATTATTATTAATCAGGTGAACACGTGAATTGTAAATTGTAAGTATGTGAGTGTTGGTTCACTCGGAATGGAATCCGTGACAGTGACTACGTTTATTTCATGCGCTTTATCCGGATACTAAGTGGATTGGATTGATAATGGGGATTAATATTCCTGAAATAAACACCCAGGATTAGAGAGTTTATCCGGATCGGAGTACTTAAACCAATCCTCCAAATTTGTAGGATAAGACTAAAATGGATTATCTCAAATGTGAAATAAACACCCTCATCTCGGATTTGAGAGGTGTGTTGCTAATTTCAAGAAAAAATTACATTTGTCATTTGTAATTTTTTTGAGGATTGGATACAACGCGTGAAATAAACGTAGTCAGTAAATCAAAAATAACGGCCATCCAAAATAGAGGTGGCATTTCAATATAATTTTAGAAATCGTGCCAAATTTAAAACATGAATATTTCACAAATGTTAAAAAAAACGAATTATATCTTTTTGGAATCAGGAAATCATAGCCTAAAATATATAAGGTGTTCCACTCAAAATAATTCATGTCGTGTTCCATTTGTCTGAAAGTTCGAAAAAACAATACACCAAAATTCATACACATTGTTTTGGAAGATGGAAGATTTTTACAAACAATTACATTATTGGTATGGAAATTTTTCTCTCGCCAGTTGTTTCTGATTCAGTGTAGCAAGACCAATTCATTAAAACACTTAATTTTTGACTGTTCTATACACGAACCGTGATAATATGGAATCCGCCGTATCATCAAAAATTATAAGGCACGCTATATTTTAGTTTTTCAACTAAAAATAAAATAGGAGATGGAGAAAACCTGCAAACTCGACAAAGTTTAATAAATATTCCTCGAGTTTTCTGTAGGATTCTTTGTGTAGGTAAATGAAAGTCGCTTGTTGTATATTTTGTGAAATATGAGAAGCTCTTGTTTAGGCATGAATTCATTATATGCGAAATGACAAAAATTATTTGCCTTAATGATAGTTATTTATGTATCAAGGGAGTTATGAGGGTGTTAATACCCCAGGGCAACTTTTGTGTCCCGAACACATTTAGGTACTGTCCGACAGTCAAGCGGCTCTAAAGGCTCTAGTAGCCATCGTGCAATTCGCAGCTAGTTTGGTAGGGTAAAAATATTCTTAAACAACTGGCTGGTAAAAACAAATTAACCCTGATGTGGGTGCCAGAACACCAGGGCGTAGAGGGCAACAAGGCGGTAGATCTTTTTGTTGCACAATGAAAAGCCATGTCTTCGAAGAAATGGACAGATGGGAAAAGGACCGAATACTAGCTCCTCGAAGATCCATTCCGGGTTTCAGATAGGCAAAAAGGTTCATATCCATCGCAAAAAGATCTGAACAACTTCTTGATATGAAGATAAGAGACATTAGAACAGTCGTTGGCCTGCTCACTGGACACTGCCTGGTGAAATATCATCTAAAAACGATAGGCAAATCAGACGACCACTGTAGATATCGGGAACAAGCAACAGAAACTACAGAACATGAGTAATCTATAAATTCCCTGCTCACTGTCATAAGAATATGTTTATTGTTTATGTGGCTGCCTATAAGTAGGTTAGGTTTAGGAGAATAGAGTTGACAGAAGGCAGTGTCTTGGAGGGAAGAGACTAGGATGCAGAGGTTAGAGTCTCGTTTTGTCCTCGCCAGAGTGTGGGCGGTTGGTTTAAGGAGCTCAAAGAGCTTCACCGGGTGGTGCACTAGAGGCGTGTAGAGACCAAATTTTGGCTCACCTCCGCGAGTAAAAACCGAGATTCATCGCCATCCGTGGATTTGTTTGCGTCTTTTTGACTAAGCCGGCTTAGATTCCTAGATAAACAGAAGGTTCACGCGTGGTAACGTTGGCAAAATGGCGGCCAGAGTCTGAGACTCGTGAAAACGCTGTTTGTTTTGACAGAAAAAGGTTATATCCGGTTTCAGCGATTGATCTAGGCAAATCCTGAATGTGCCTTTCACATAAAGAAAAATTGAAGATAGAAGAGATTGAAACGAATCTGTGTTTGGAACATGGCCCTGAGCCAGACGGCTTTCTGAACACAATCAAATGTGCTGGCAAATTGCCCTATTGGGAGCAGAAGCCAAGAACCCCAGGAAAGAAGAAGAAGAATATGCAGAGGTTAGGACATGTTGTTTAATAAATATCAATTGATTGAGAATTCATCACATGTGATTCCCTACTACGGAAAGGCAATCTTTCTTTAACTAGGTGTGTTAACATTTGTGAAACTGCAGAACTAGCCAATATAAGGTCTAAGTAATTAGAAGAAAATGACGGTAGCAAAATAGATGTATTGAAGAGACGAACTAGGTTGGCAAGTTCTTTCGCAAGTTCTAGCAGCGCAAGTACATAAAGTAAATATGAAGAAAATCAGAATAGATATTATGAAAAGTTTCCCAAGTGCAAGTCGTGCGGTTGGGAACATGAAAAAAAGCCCAGCTTTCAGAAAAATGTGCAATATTTGTAAAAAGTACAACCATTTTGCTAAAACGTGTCCAACAGTGAAAAAATAATTCGGAATATTGAAAAAGAAGACAGCTCTGAGGATGAGCATGAGTTTTTTGTGGGTACAATACAAAATGAAGTCGAATATGTCAGTAGTATGGTCTCAGCAGGGCCGATCCTAGCAGGTGTGCAGCGCGTGCCCCGCACGCGGGCGGCCGCAGGCCGCCCATAGTTCTGTCATTCAAGATTCAAGTGAAACTTTTCACGAATTTCTCAAAATAAAACTACTTCTAATAAAGAAATAAGCTGAACTTTAAAAAACTCTTGAAAAATGAAAATGAACCCCGATCTCCTGATAGCATAAATAGAAAGTTTAGTGCACAGTCAATGTGTAGGCTCACGCATAATGTTTTAACTCTGTACATATCCATCATAAGATCGCATAGTTTATTAAATTTCCTAAATACTTCCGTTTTGTTTTTTCAAAATGTTTATTTTTGTTCCCAATTCACCTAATTCTGCAAGAATAATTACTAACCGTGCAACAGAACTAGATGAATACTCCCGCTAACAATATTACCAACTTTTTTGATATAGTATTTCCCAAACTCAATTGGAACAAGGTACCAATTGGTGGCTGACTATAGTTACTGAAAATTTCCATAAGAAATGCACTGCCACTAGTCAGCCACCAGTTATAATTTATGTTCACCTTGTTCCAATTAACTTTGGAAAAACTATACCTACCAAAGACTTCCAAGTGCAGGTGGGTATGTTATGTAGGTAAGTATTACGACTACGGACTGGGGTGTCTTGATTTTCCACAGGGCCCTATTTTTCACTTTTGTACCTAGGCCCAAGCCAGGCCTTACTTAGTTTAAGCAACGGTTTAGGATAGTGTTTGTCATTGTTGATCACCACCAGTGTTGCCAGGTCATAAAAATTAAATTCACCAAAAATTGGAATGAAAAATAACCAGATTAAAAAAAAAAATCACCAGAAATCTTTAAAAGTTTATTTTTCAGGCTATATTACGAGTTGTAAACCAAAAAATGCGTTTTTAATACAACTTGATAATAATTGAAGTATTAAATGAAACACAATTCACTAAGTATAAATTTCTTGATACGGTGGCAAATGTGGAAAATATCATTTTTTTCGCACCCACCTGCTAAGGTACAAATTGAATAACTTTTCTCTGATTTTATGATCGTATGGTTTCGAATTACTTTAAAGTTTAAATAGGTACGTACCCAGATCAGGATTATTATGAAAAAAGGATATTTTTCAAGTTTAGGGAATCACCTAAAAAAAAAAACAGGTTAACGAATCGTGGCAATAACCTACTTACACGCCTCGTAACTGGCAACATTTTTTGCACTCAGCGGACGTAGCGCTGCAACGACAATTGTTAAAAATATTCAAAATCGATGAAATTTCAAAATCACCAGAAGATGCCATTTTTCAAAAAGTTTTTCACCAATCGCCAGATTATTCACAAAATCACCAGATCTGATGAAATTTCACCAGACCTGGCATCACTGATCACCAGTCACCCGCATTCAAACTACTACAACAAATATGTTGATATGTTGCTCCAAACAAGTTTTTTTTAACTCTAAACGCCCAAAAACTTTCATTTTGTGGCTCGAAATGAACGCTTTTGGGCGTGGCACCCATACAAATTTTCTGCCTCAGGCGGCGAGCTACCACCACCAGCACCTACGTAAGGGTGCTATATCTCTATGGGGCGGCGCAATTGTTCTTTGCACGCGGGCGGCCGATACCCTAGGATCGGC